TCTCTCCCGCCAGGTGACGCTGTAGAGAGAATTCAAGCATTCGAACCCAGAACGTTTAGATTCTGAGTCAACGACCCTAGCCACGCTAACAAGTCTTTGGAAAATAGTTTCATCAGGTTGGTAGAATATATAATACTAGGATTTTCTTTAACACAACCAGTAAGCAAGGTAAGAGACATTCCTGGCTGTGTGAAAGAAAATATACAAAGGAGTCTTACCCTACAACTCTGTTTGCAGTTACATCTTATCTTGTCGTCGTCAAACAGCTGGCGTTGGCTCCGTCTGCATCGCTCCTGGAATAAGAACAATACGAACAAGAATTCCGAGATCTCATACCTCCATGAAATATGGGCTTGATATGTAAATGTAAATTTCTTCTTTAATTATGCAAATGACCTCTGCATTAACATGATATATGCATCGTGATGTATGTTAACTTTTGATTAACTTACAGATGTCCCAAGTATGACATTCCCATCATTCACCATTAAGAAATCATAGAATTTTCGCATTAATTATGCAAATTAGCTCATCATTTGCATAATTAGTATCTGTTGATGTTCCGCCTGCCATAGGTTACATACATTACATGTATGAAAGTAGTATAATGTAAAACACTGTAATTATAGAATTTCCTCATTAATTATGCAAATAAAGTCCTCATTTGCATAATTTGTATTCAATTATGTACATCTCTCTCTCAGCTACCTACACACCAAAAATTATGAAAATATGTTGTTCCTATCTGGACTTATTGGCTTTTAAACATTTCACCAGAAAGTGTCCTGCAGTTCCAGAACAAGTCGCTAGGGGGACCAAACTCACACCACTTATTTCTGACAGGAAAAGCAATCTGTCATCAAAACATCAAGACCATAGCATATTCAGGACAAAAGATACACAAACCGGAAGTTCTGCTGCAGTACCAAGGTCATCCACCAGGAGGCCCATATTTGACCTTGACCTTTGCCTTCCTAAGACCTACCAAAATACCAAATATCATCATAATCCATAAAGGCGTTATGAAGTTATGCTGACTACAAAGTTGCTGAAACACACACAGACACACACACACACAGACACACACACACACAGACAGACACACACACACACACACAGACATACATACATACAGACAGACACGCCAAAACAATACCTCCATTTTTCATGGAGGTAACAAGTTGAAAGTGAAACTGGAAACATTAGTTTTCTCACTAGACGTCTGACACTATATACAACCATAAATGTTAGAAATTTACGTACTAGTATATGAACAAACAAGAGTTCCGAGATCTCATACCTCCATGAAATATGGGCTTGATATGTAAATGTAAATTTCTTCTTTAATTACGCAAATGACCTCTGCATTAACATAATATATGCATCGTGATGTTAACTTTTGATTAACTTAAAGATGTCCCAAGTATGACATTCCCATCATTCACCATTGAGAAATCATAGATTTTTTGCATTAATTAGGTCATCATTTGCATAATTAGTATCTGTTGATGTTCCATCTGCCATAGGTTACATACATTACATGTATGAAAGTTCTATAATGTAAAACACTGTAATTATAGAATTTCCTCATTAATTATGCAAATAAAGTCCTCATTTGCATAATTTGCAGTTAATTATGTGCATCTCTCTGTCAGATACCTACACACCAAATATGATGAAAATACGCTGTTCATATCTGGACTTATTGGCTTTGAAAGATTTCGCCCGAAAGTCCCCTGCAGTTTCTGAACAAGCTGCTAGGGGGACCAAACCCACACCACTTATTCCTGACAGGAAAAACTATCTGTCACCAAAAATTCAAGACCATAGCATGTTCAGGACTAAAGATACAAAAACCGGAAGTTCTGCTGCAGTACCAAGGTCATCCACCAGGAGGCCCATATTTGACCTTGACCTTTGTCTTCCTAAGACTTATCAGCATACCAAATATCATCACAATCCATAAAGGCGTTATGAAGTTATGCTGACTACAAAGTTGCGGAAACACACACAGACACACAGACACACACACAGACACACAGACAGACGCCGCCAAAAACAATACCTCCATTTTTCATGGAGGTAATCAACATGTTGGGTTTAATGCATCGTTAAAGCCCTGTCACACAGACAAATCCGGCTTCCCGAACACTACCCCAAACCATAGTAAGGTTGGGTCGGGTTGGCCACTGTTGGGCTACGCCAGCCGAATGTTTCAAAATGAGTTGTTGGGTTGGCAGCTGGTTGGCTGGTGTTCGGGAGTAGGTCGGGGATTTGTTGCCACTTAATCTGAGTGAAATGTAACACGAATTCGATTCGTATGGAAAGGTAGGCATGGTCTAAATCTGGTCAGACTGCCCCGAGCTTCATCCAACTTTGGTTGACTGGTGTCCGGCGGAATATTCTAAATGTGTGACAGGGATTTAACACTAGTGCTTGAATGCCTGACCTGTGTGCTGTTCAGGACGCTGCAGATCCCAGAGTTGCTCCCGGTCACCAGCTCGTCTGTGCACTCACACTTGTCGAGGATCGCTCTCTGCAGACACGTTTTCTGACAACTCAAGAAGGAGTAGGAACCTCCGTACAGGGAATCAAACTCTTCCGTGGAGAGTATACAGTCGTCTCCGTATGGGTACTGTAAACGCTGGACCACTTTCTTTCTGGAATGAGATGCAAGTAAAAACAGCTTTAAACATCTTCAGCTCCTGTCACACATATCAGAATATGGCCTCTCCAACTCCCTCGATTATGGTTAGGAGAGTTAGGAGTAGGTCGGGAGCAAGGTCATGTGGTCAATAGGATCTGCACTAATTAGCTCCATGGAGCTAGCTCCAATCGTGAACCTACACAAAGCGGTTGGTAATACCCCCGTCACATTGTCGACGAGCTTCGGCCGTATTTGTCAATCGCCGAAAGATCGGCCGATTTTGAGATCGACCGACGATCGCGCGTATTTTTGGCTTGAAAATCGTCGTGGTCACATTGTGCGAGGGTCGGGCGATCGCTTGGGGATACATCTATGATAATGAAGTCCCTATAACATGGCAAGCAGATGAAGCAAGGCCAGTGTATCCACCTAAACATGAATAGTTTGGCCAATTTTTGCAAAGTAATGGAGCGGACTGGCAGAATAAATAGAAATATAAACAGAAATATAAATAGGAATTCTGTGAAAGATCCAACTCAAATACTACCACAAGAGCCACAAATTTACACTACCGTCTGGTTAACACAACGACCACCTTTTTAACCAGACAGGAGTCGGCCGAAGCTCGCTCGACACACGGGCGTACGTCGCCCGAGTTACGTTCGACGATCTATCGATGTTCGCACGATCTCTAGACCATTCAACCAAAATGTACAACAACATAATGATTATCATTATATCAAAATCTTTTTTATACACTTATACGTGTACCTGAACAAAGCTAATAAGATATATTATTCTAAAACTTAACCTCTATAGATCTACTTCTGTCTAAAATAGTATGAATCCTCCGGTAAACAAGTTTATTATCCATTCAATGGCATCAAAGTAGACGGAGGTAAAAAGAGCCATG